AAATAAATTATCTAAATTTTATTTGCATCTCAATTTTTTGTCAGGTCATTCAATTAGTTGTTTATATTTTAGCTTAGTTTCTAGATTTTATTGTTAATTGCTAGAATGATTTGATGGATTACTTGAATGGTTGTTTTGAAGAGTTGACCAATGAACCTTTTGACATATTATTTTAATGAAAATTGAATGCAATTATATACATGATTGTTCCTCAAATTGCTAAAGATGTGTTAACTATTTAAATATTCACAATTGTTTCTAGTCTAAATTCCCTATTAATGGTCAAATTCTTGATTTCTTTAGTAGTCCGTCAAGTAAAAATGTGGATTATGCGATGATTTGTCCTAAAGATTTGTTGCATATTAATAAGGAACCTATAATAGTCCATTAATATATGGATGAAGTAGAAGCATTAAATGATTCACAATAGTTATAGTAAGTATTATAGTATTTGATCTTTCTATTCATTTTTACTACTAGTTGCTTTATATCATTTAACTATAATCAATGAATTTATCTACCAGATTTTTAAAATTATCAAAAGAATGAATTACGCGTTACAATTACAAACATTGAGCCAATTAATATCCACTAAGATGTTTAAATATTTTTATCATGTTGTTGCATTATAATGATTAGAATTATGAAATTTTGATTTGTAATTTTTTAATGATGTTATTTATGTTTTTTTATGTGAAATTGTAAAGTAATATTTATAATTTAACTTATTCAATATAGATTTATTATTATTTTTTTTTTTGTTAATCCGTGATTTTAAATTGAACCAAACCGGAAAAAAAAATGGTTTGGAATGGTTTGGTTTAGAAATTGAAGTGTTCTAGTTTGGTTTGGAAAGATTTCAAACCGTTTTAAGTTGTTCAATTTGAAAATTTATCTCCAAATCAAATCGTACTCACCTCTAATTATTAGTAAGGAACGAGTGCTACATTTTTATTTTTATTTTTCTTGTTGATGAATGATTTCTTATGTTGATATTCTAGTATTGGCCATTAGGACTAGTGTTCGAAAGTCGATCTAGACATTATTTGAAAAAGATAAAGAGTAAAATGATTGAACAAGTATTGAATTTAGATCAATTTGATTGGAGAAAATAATTAAAAATAACTATGTAAATGAAATTTTGAGATCAGCCAACCTATTATGTACTTGTTTTAAATAGTTTTTTATTTTTTTCAAATTGTTTACATATAAATTGACCAATTTTCGAAATGATTCTCATTTCTTTGATCAAAACAAATTGATTTAGTTCGATTTTCAGAACAGTGCTAGTGAGAATGTTGAACATATAAATTGCTAGAGCAATTTTCAAATTGTTTCTCGATTTCTTTGATCAAATGGATTGGTTCAATTTGATTTTCAGAAAATTGTTGAACATATATAGTGATAGAGCACCATATATTTTATTAATAAATATACATATCATATCATATACAGGTTCAACAGTAAGGTTAATGACAGAAATGCTTTGTTGAGCAGGTTAGGATGAAAATGAAATAAGAACAATAAGTTGGGGATCTTTGCTGCTAATTTTGGGTTAAGGAAAGCGGGGAATGATTAAAGATGGTGAACGTAGGTCAAAATGATCTAGGTCGTAGGTTGATTTCCACGTGGCATAAATCAGTGGGCCTGATTTGATTAGGTATTTTACTTTTTAATTAGTGACGAAATCAATTTTTGATTTATTATCTACATGAGAGGCGGTGAGGTTTCTTTTTCTGCCTTGCTTGGCAATAAAAGTACAAATATAAATAACATTTTAAAATTATTACGATGAATTTTTTATTTAAATATTTTAAATAAATGATATTAATATATTATTATTCTTGTTTAATTATGTTCAATACTTCAATGTGTGTTAAATATCGTAATAGAGCTTGAAAATTGTATTTTAGATCCTATTTGAGCTCTTTTCTGGTTACGAATGTATTTTGAAATAATATATTAATGAAAAATATATGATTAAAAAAAGAAGAAAAGATTTGGATTTATGTATATAGTATTTTATTGCAGTTGAAAAGAAAAAAGAGAAAAATATATTATGAAAATAATGGACATCGAACAAAGTTCAAATTTGATTAACGTAATTAATTAATAAAGGTGGGCAATATATATTAGGGTGAATCTTAAAATAAGGAAATATTTTTGTCTTGTATGTTTGGGCAAAAACAAAAGGGAAGGAAGAATAGACAATTCCTTTTGTCTTGGCATAGGAATCAAATAAATTCAAAATGCCCACACTACTTTAATTCCCCCCTCATTGCATGATCTTGTATTCAACACAAATCGAGGTGCCTACATTTTATTCTTTTTGTAACTTTGTTTTCTCATTGGTCAATATTCAAAAAGCAAGGACCAATTGGTTGCATTTATTCCTTTTTACATCTCAAGGGATTGATAGTTTGACTTTTCAAAATCTAATCAATTCCTTCCTTTCTTTTAATAGTTGAACGAAATTGGTGTTTATATTGTGTGTATTATAGATCATAGATATAACAATTATTGAACAATTTCTTGAGGTAAGTTGTTCAAGTTAGATACTAGTTTGGTCAACGGAACAAGTTAAATGTTATGCTCACGTTGAACAATTTGCACATTTAAACATACTTTTGATTGTTGGGTCACTAAATTAGGAGACTAAATTGGTCGAAAAGCACTTCGATGCTTTAGTTAGATTGAACTTTACTTAGAAAAATCAATCGACAGAGTTTTGACTAAGTAAATAGTAAAAGCACTATTCGCATTTATAGAAGGAATATTGAGCATGAGACTTGGTTCTCTAGATTGTCATATCGTTGGAACTATCGTTTGCTTCGCTTTTTATACTTGTTATCGTTACAACTTTCTCCATCCATTCTTGTGTGATAAAAGTTCTTAAATTAAATTTACCACAGACATAAACATTTTATGTATGTGTGACATTTGCAACAAGCTGGTCACCCTACTATACTTCATAACTTCCCTGCACTATGAAGGTGAATAAACTTTTGAGACTCTTGCACTTGGCGAGTCGAGCTTTGCCATAGGGTTGATATCTCACATTTTGAACTCAATGCGGTGCTTTAATTGAGGTAATCTCTAATAGCTCACGGTCAAATCTCAATTTGTGGAAAGCATTTGATGGCTTATGAAAACATAAATATTTATTTTGATATAGACCGTATCTCTTTATTATTTGAAATGTTGACCACATTTCTGATCCCTATTTGCATTTTAGTGGGTTGGTCTAGTATGAAAAGTTACAACATCTTCAATTCGAGAATTTCTAATGGTTGTCATGTTTTGCATGTTGGATTCTCTACTATTCTATGTTCTTCCCGAAAGTGTCAATCCCTATGTTATGCAGAGCTAAGCATCCTCTATTCACTGGGATAAAGCTTTTCCTCTGCAGGGGCCTTGTGCAATATAAGCCCTACGGGCAGGTGACATCTGCTAGTAGAAATTTTTTGGATAAATTTTGGGGAAAAGACCAATAGACTAAAAGTACTTACGTAAGGTAAAACCTTTCTAACCTTCGAATAGCGAGTATCCAATCAGTAATTGACATGAAGCCGGCACAAGCCACAGTTCAGCAAGACTATTTGCTTAATCGGCTCATTGACTGCTATTTTTTGGACAAGATTTTATATCGTTTTTTTTTTAAGTGGGTTGGTGACTTAGGGGTGGGGGAAATATCCTCCAGTTGAGTCATACACAATCTTTCTTGAATGTGTTAAAATTTACACATCTTTTCTCGAATTTGTCAAATAAATATTCGAAGACTAACGTTTGAATCTGGTTCATAGTTCCCTGCACAAGGTTGGGAGGATCTAAAATTAAATGCCCAACGTTAATAAGTGCAAAGAACCAACGTCACGGGATTGTGGATTGTTGAGTTGCTGATGGGAGCGCTTATTCAAGAAAATAACCTAACCTACTTTTTTTTTACTTCTCACTACAATTTGTGATTATATAATAGGAAATAACTTTAATTAATTTTCTATATTCTATATTTTTTATACACTTGTGCGTCTAGAATATAGAAAAAATGAAGAAG